AGGTTTGGGGCTTGAGAGATAGCACAGTGGGTAGGGTGTTTGCCTTGCGTGCAGCCGACAGCATCCCATATGGTACCCTGAGCACCGCCAGGAGTAACTCCTGAGTGCAGAGCCAGGAGGAGTAACACCTGTGCATCGCAGGGTGTGACCCAAAAAGAAAAAAAAAAGAAACAAGGTTAAACATCAATGAAATGCAAAAAAAAAAAAAAAAAAGCAACTTATCTGATGAATGAGCCCAACACCCTCTCATGATAAACGAAGGGACTTTCTCCAGAGGGAACCTCCTCCACCGGAGGGAGCCCACAGTCCAGGCGCAGGGCCTGTCCCTGCCATGCCATGCAGGCCTGAGCCAGAGGTCAAGTCAAGCAGCAGGTAACCAGAGGGAAATGGAAACAAAGACCCTGGACGGAGAGCGCAGATGGCACCACCTCAATACCGGGTGATGCTGAGACCCCAGCACCTAAGGGACCCCCATAGCTCAGACCTTTAACCTTTAAATGTAAACATCCTCGCCTCCCGGTTACCACAGGGCCCAGGTGTGAGGAAGTCGTGACCTACGAGCCTTCCGAGTTCCACGAGTTCCACGTTTTCCTCCCCAAGATTGTATCAGACTCTAACGGTTTGCACCTAAACAGGCCCGGACAATGTATACTTTGATACATGCTTGTCCTATTCCTCCACATTTCCTTGTTTTGATTCTTTCCGCTCTGTTGAGTTTCTTGGAGGCTTACAAGACGAGAGCAAATAAAAGGAGGCTGCAGAAGCTCCTCCGGGCCATGGAGCCTGAGGGGGCTCGGCCCTGTGCGGGAAGCTGGCCACCTAACTGACCAAGGGCCTACGTGACCCGCGACAGGCCAAGTCCCGACTTGCACAAATCCTGTGCTATGCATGGAATCCTGTGCTATGCATGGTTATCTCGAGGAAACATCTGTCACAGAAACATCTGTCATGACTGTCCGCAAAAACAAGGAGTAACTGGCAATGATTAACCATGTATGTGGAACCTACAGACTTTGTAACTTTCCTGACCATATATGGACAGGACCTCTTTGTGTAACTGCCTTATGCCTTGTATGCATAGTTTCCTGTACTGACAGGTATCTAAGCCCCCGCTGCCCCGAATAAAGTCCTGTCCTGTCCCATCCTCTCTTAGCTTCTTGTCTCTTCTTGCGTCCGTGTGTTCCTTGCACGTACGGAACCTGGAACCCTCCCTGCAGGACTGGGAGGCGACTCCGCGCCCCCCCCCCCACAGCCCTGTCTTGCCTCTGCCCCTCCAACCGCCTCCAACAGCCCAACCCAAGGTAGGTTCCTACGCCAAGAAGCCTTTCACTGGTGGCGGCAGCCGCCAAGTTCTTCGTGACCTCTGCATGGGGTTGGTTGGGTTAGTTACAGATATGCTTGGATGGATTTTTTTGTTTGTTGGGCTAGGCCCCTCAGGGCCCACAGTCACTCCTGGCAGGAGTTGGGGATTTACTGGAACCATTTCTGTGGCCTCCAGATTTAAGCAATTTTTTTGTTGTTTTGTTTGGGGGCCACACCTGTGTTCCTCCTGAGTCTGCAACTCGATGTTCACTCCTGGTGGGGCTTGGGGGACCCATGTGGGTTAACATCAGACCCGGGCCAGGCATGTCCATAACAGGAGCCCTACCCGGTACTCTCTCACCAGTCTCAAGATGTTTGATTTTCTAATCAAGAGCAATGCCTGACGGTGCAGAGGGGTTGGTCTGGACATGTGGGCAGTGGTGCCATCCTGGGTCCAGCGTGAGGCAGATCACCCCAGAGCCAGGGAGGCATGGATGGCTTTTGCAACCATCTCTATTTTCGCCTCAGAAAACTGCAGGTTGCTAGTCCGCTGTCTCCTAGGGTGATGGACATGGCGCAGGACTGGCCAGTGGAGAATCTCCCAGGCATCCTGTCCTTCACTTGCATCCTCTCCAGAGCCTCAGGCTGCCCAGGTTTCCGGAGGCTGTCCTGGCGGAAAGTCACTTTCTGTGCAGCGAGCAAGTGAACCTCCCTTGGAGGTGCCAGGTGGCTCCAGGAGTCTGCTGGAGGTAGCTGGCCATTGTCCTGTCTGGAGAGCCACCCCTGCGGAGGCTTCTGGGCCCTCTGCAGCACAGCCAGCCCACCAGGACCTCCCAGAAACCGAGTCTGGGCAGCGTGTCCTCTGGTCGCTCCCCATCTTTTTTTTTTTAATGTGGTTGGTTCCTCAACACACGTGTAACATTAAAAAATTATGCAAGTGGGGCTGAGTGATAGCACAGCGGGTAGGGCGTTTGCCTTGCAAGCAGTCGACCCAGTTCAACTCCCAGCATCCCATGTGGTCCCCTGAGCACCGTCAGGAGTAACTCCTGAGTATCACCAGGTGTGACTCAAAAAGCAAAAAAAAAACAAAAAAAAAAACGAAAGCATTCCACATAGAGGAACATAAAAAGAATGAAATACCTTTAAAAACTGTAATAAAATCAAAATCTATACACATCATTATTATAGGACATTGCCAAAAAGAATAAAAACCTAAAATGTAGGAAGTCCTACAGTTATGACTTGGAAGACTTACTAGTGTCACAGTCGATCTACAGATTCACTCCAATTCTTACCAAATCCTAGCTGTCTTTAAGAAACCGAGCAGGTCATCTGCAAGCTCATTTTGGAAAGAATAAAGGGGGCTCACCCATCCCCCAATTTCCAAACACTGAAAAAAATTTAGTAAGCAAGACCAATGTGGTCCCAGACAGGAACTAAAATCCAGACTATGCAAAGAACCCCTACGACTCGGACACGAGTGCCCCTCAAACTCAGTGTCCACAAAGGCCATCCGCACACAGTTCCATGGGGACAGCCCCAGAATCCCACAGCACTCTCCTTCCTCCCAAGAATGCCATTAACAAAAAATGGGGTGCTGGCGAGGACACGGACAACCGGAATCGGGCAATGGAGAATGGCCCCCTTCTCGAGAGGGGCTTTGAGTGGTTCTCAACAGACCAAAGCCAGCATGCCCAGAAGCACATACATGCCCGGAAACAGTCATTCCGTCCACACGACCCTCCGTGGGGGCTCACGGCACTGTAATTCCCCACAGTCCAATGTGGGAACTAGACCCACCCGAATGTCTGTGAGCTGGTAACAAAGGTGGCATGTCACGCTGATAACACAGTGGGTAGGGCATTTGGTTTGCCTTGCATGCGGCCAACATGGCCAACCCGAGTTAGATTCCTCTGCCCCTCTCGGAGAGCCCGGCAAGCTACCGAGAGTATCTTGCCCGCCTGGCAAAGCCTGGCAAGCTCCCCGTGACATACTTGATACGCCAAACACAGGAACAACAAAGTCTCCAATGGAGACGTTACTGGGCCCGCTCGAACAAATCGATGAACAACGGGAGGACAGTGATACAGTGATGTCACTCATGCTGAAGGCCTTGGCAGAGGAATGGGACGCAGTCCTGAGGCTTCCACACGGGTGGCATCTGCACGCAGCCAACCCCGGTTCCTGTCCCCCAGCACAGCAGGCTGCAGCTGCGCTGAAAAACAACTCGTGATTCAGGGTCTGATGCACGAACCCCTTTCACACGGTCACGGAAAAGTCTCCTGGAGAAATGTGAGCTCCCCACCACTCTCCCCTAAAGTGGACCATGGGCCAGAAAGAGTCCAAGATGGAAGTGCATGTCTGGCACAAACACAGCCGACCCTGGCTGCATCTCTGGCACTACAGCAGTGAGCCACGAGCACCTCTGGGCGCAGCCCCAACAAACCCCAACACTGCCCCCTCCCCCCCAAAAAAAGACTTAAGAAAGGCCTGCCAGGTGTGCCCCTCCCCCCAAGCCCTACTCCAGTGGCGCAGCTGGGAGGATGAGGAATGTCCCTGGTGGAGAGTCCAGAAGCAGCATTCACACCCAGAGCAGAGGCCCCAGGGCAAGACCAAGGAGATGCCGCACTGCCTTGGCTGGGGGACACTCCTGAGGGTTTGGCCAGAAGAGGCCAGGAGCAGCCAGGAACCCAGGAACGCAGCTAAAAGTTGCCTTTCAGGTTCAGATGCGAAGTCCAGCTACCCCTGAAGGTCTGAGCTAATGAACTTATCCATGGTGTGGATCCAAGAGATCCAGTAAGTTCTCAGGGGGCCTCAGAGAAGTTCTCAGAACCCTCCAGGATCTTTGTCTTGTTAAAGCTCAAACAGTAACACAACCTAACACCACCTGACAATTCTCACAATTCAATTTCATTGGTTCATCACCATGTCTCATAACCTGACACAGCTCAAGAGAGTTCCATGATTGTCTCGGGACTCGGCAATCACCAGACGGTGAGTGACTGTTCCACGGGAGACACTTCCCCCTAGGCCCGCCTCCAACGCGGCCTGGGATTCACGGCAAGGAGTCACCTCCCAGCTCAGCACCCAAGGACAGCTACTCCCTCGACTGCCCGCAGCCAAAGCCAGGCCGGCACAGTAGCCAGCGCTGGCTGCGGCCTTCCTGGGTGGACTCACACCGCCTCCCACGGGACAGGTGGAGGGTGGGGGGACTGCCTGGCCAGACCCCTCCAGGAGCCCTGCGCATCACCGGACACGGGACTCGGGTTCGGGACCACAGCTGCCCTGCTGAAGAACGCATTTTGTCTCGGTGTGGATTCGAGCCACAGCTGGAGGGGCCCGGGGCCGACTTCGGACGAAGTCGCTGGGCAGTGGCCCAGGGCCCGCCCGCGGGGCAGGAGGCAGGCGCTTGGCCCCTGGACAAGGTAACGGGTTGGCGCCGATGCGGGTCAGGACACGGAACGGCCCACGCCCAGCAAAGCCCACGGGTGGGGAGCCGGCCCCCGCTGGCCGGAAAACGCTACCCACTCCTGGGACCAGCGAGGAGACTGAGGCAGAGCTGGAAACACCTGCGGGAGTCTGGGGCCCCAGGGGAGAGGGGAGGCCGGCGGGAGGGCAGCGGCCAGGCCCGGGGTCCCCACCAGCGCGGGGAGGGGCCGGGCCGGGCCCGGGGTCCCCCTCCCGGGGCCGCCACTTACCTGCAGGGCCCGGGCGCGGGTCCGAGCGCCGTCCTCCCGCCCGGCGTGGGGCGCGCCCGCGGGCCCCGGCCGCCGACTGCCCGGGCTCTGGGGACGGCGACGGTCGCCCCCCACCATCGGCGTGGCCCGGCGCTGCCCTGGGCTCTGCACGGTCCGGCGGGCGGGGCGGGGCGGGGCGGGGCGGCCGGGAAGGCGGTCCCCGAACCCGAACCCGAACCCGAGCCCGAGCCCGAAGGCGGGGGCCCGCGCCCTGCGCCGGGGAGCGGGTCCGGCGGGCGGGCGGGTCCGGCGGGCCCGGGGTCAGCGGGAAACAAAGATGCGGGCGCGGCGGGGCGCGCGGCGGGGCGGGCGGCCCGGCGGGGCGAAGCGGCGCGGCCCGGCCCGGAGGCACCAAGCGGCCCGGCCCGGCCCGACCCGACCCGGCGGCACCAAGCGGCGCGGTCCGGCCCGGCTCCCCGCGGCGCTCGGCCGAGTCGGGGCCCGCGCCTCCGGGAAGGCGTCCGGCCGCCTCCGGGGCGGGGCGCGCGCGGCCCCGCGCGGTCCTAGTGCCGCTCGCGCGCGCCTCCCGGGCCTCCGGGCCACGCCCTCCGCCCGCCGGGGCACCGGGAAGCCCCGCCCCGCGGCCCGGGCCCCGCCCCACGCTCGCCGCAAGGCTCGGCCCCCGGGCCACGCCCTCCTCCGCTGCACGGCGCGCGGACGCCCCGCCCACCGCAGGGCTAGGTTCCCCGGCCACGCCCTCCTCGCTGCACGGCGCGCGGACGCCCCGCCCACAACAGGGCTAGGTTCCCCCCCCCCGCCCCGCCCTCCTCCGTCGGCAGTGCCCGGGACGCCCCACCCATACCAGGACTAGGCCCCGCCCCCGCCTGCCGGGCCACGCCCTTCTCTGCCGGCACAGCGCCCGAAGCGCCACGCCCCCTCCCGGCAAAGAGCCCGGGAAGCCCCGCCCCCGCCCGCCGGGCCACGCCCTCCTCTGCCAGCACGGTGCTCGGGACGCCCCGCCCACACCGGGACTAGGCCCCGCCCCTGCCCGCCGGGCCACGCCCCCCGTCGGCACAGCGCCCGGGACGCCCCCACCGCCGCGCGCATCCCCGCCCCGCCGCGCCCGGGACGCCTGGGGTCGGGTGCTGGGCGCTGGGGCGGCCCGAGGCGTGGCTCTCCCCGGGGGCGTCGCTGCCTGCGGACCGAGCACTGACCGGCCCCCCAGAACTCGCTGGGGAGCGCGCGGCTCGCCTTTGCGGGGCAGGACAGGGCCGGGAATCGGGGGTCCCCAGAGGGCCTCGCTGGCCATCCCTGAGGGCCCGGACGCTCCCCCTGTGGGGGGACACTTAGCTGCGACTGCAGAGTTAGAGTAAGTCAGCACAAGAGGAGAGCACGCGCCGAAGAAGCCCAACCCTTACTTTTTGGCGGGAGTCAAGGGAGAGTCCAAACGCGGGACGGGGGCCACGCCCAGTGGGGGTCGCCGGACGCTCCGGGGTCACGTGGTGCCTTCCCACCGACTGACGCCCCCCGCGCCCGCCGAGCCTCCGAGTGCACCCCCCCGGACCACGCTGCGCCGACGGTCAGGTCCCGCCCCCCCTCCCCGGCCAGCCAAGCCAAGCCTGCACCCCGGCCCTCGGAGCTGCCCCCGACCCCCAAAAGGCCATGCCCAGGGCGGGGTCGCCGAGGTCCAGCCCGGGAAACGCGGATGGAGCAGGGCCCCTCCTCAACCACCCAAACAGCGCTGGCGTCGCTGCGGTTCTGCTGCACCCAGGGGCGCGCCTCCCCGGGCGAACAAAAGCAGGGAACCAGCACGGTCAGGCGCCCGGGGAGGGCGCGCCGGCACCCCGAGGACCCCGGCCCCACCTCCTCCTGCGCAGTGACCTGGCGCCGAGCCTTCAGATCCCCGGCGGGCGGGCGGGGGGCGCCCCAGCCCCTCAGGCGACAGGAGGGAGGGCGCCCGCGGAGGGTGGGCTCTGTCCCACCCCCTCCTCTGGGAGCTCCCCTGCTCCTCCGCCCTCGGGCTGCCCCGGAGCACTCGCGATGGGAGGACACAGCCCCTGACCGGCTGTGCCGCCAGGGGCCAGACACGGGCCCCTGCTCAGCCACTCTGGGCCACTCAGCCACTCATGGCAAAGACAGTCCTGCAGTTTGGGACCCACCTGGAGCTAACAGTAAGCCCCGCCTGTGCGATTTGGCCCGAACTCCACCCCGCCCCCTTCTTGCAATAAAGGAAAAGGAAACTACAGATGCTCTTTGCACGGCAGAATGCTAACCCTCAGGGCCAGTGAGTGCCCGTATTGACAAAACACGTTTCTGAAAAAGCTTATTAGCACGTCAATGGGAACCTGGATGTTGTAAATGAGGATTCCTTTGTCTTCTCCTGCCCTCCCCTTCCAGTTACTCTGTTACTCAGCCTGTGCTCCCATTCGTCACAGAGTAGGCTCTCCCCACCCAGCCCTGCAGCTCCCAAAGGTGTTTGTCCAGGAGAAATGCAGCGCTGCTTCCACGGGAGCCAGGCCCGACCCTCGGGCCTAAAGGCGGAGCTCAGGAATGCATAAGAAAGCGTACTACTGAGGCAGGCAGGTGGGGGATGGGGGGCACACCTGGCAATGAGTTCTTGGGAGGAGTAAGACCGAGAAGGGATTTACAGGAGTGACCCAAGCAGCCGGAAGCACCGCTGCGGGACCCAGGACCTGAGTCCGGATCATACTCTGAGTGGCGCCAGCACAGGCCTCAGAGGGCTGGACCCCCTCGGCGAGAAGCTCCAGGAGGAACAAAGGGGCCAGGATAGGGCAGGGAGGTGGACACGTGTGAGGACTAGGCCCCGAATCTAATAATGACCCAACAGCTTACGGGAACTAACCTGTTTTTCAGATCCGCTTTACAAGAAACCCCATGCTCTTAAAATGACCGGTTATCCTCCCCAAGGACTGATACCCAGATGCAGGTGTCCTGGGTGATGGATGACTCAGGATGCGGGTGGTTGGGGGAGATTACCCAGGGCTTAACATTCCCGCCATGCCTTTGCTTGCGATAACAAACGGTGTACGCAGATGCTGACCCTTGAATCTATAGGCTACGAGATTGTATAGCTTTAAGTATTTAAATCGATTGGCTGGACGTGTGTGGTGTTTGAAACTGACTGGGCACGGCACCAAGAGCGCCAAAGGACGACCTATAAAAGAAGGGAAAACCGAACGCTCGGGGTCTCACTCAGAATCCTGGTCTTGCGTGACCTAGGTGGAGCTTGACCCTAGCCTGGCTAGAACAATAAACCTTGTTTGTCCACTGCATTCTCTGAGTAGTTTCTTTGCGCGGCATGTGGAGATCAAGAACCGTGCCCTAACACACGGCGAGTTTCAGCTCTTCACCTTGCCGACGCCATAGCAACAGCCCCTTCCTGGGCAGAGAGCCTCACGTGGGGCGGCTCGGAGAAGCTGATAAAGCTGGCGTGGTCCAGGCACGAATGCGGCTCCCGTGGGTGGGGCAGGGTTGCTTGCGGTCCTCCCAAGTCTGACTGAGCCCGCAGCCAAGTGCTCCCCAAGGAACAGCAGCATGGCTGGATGCCGTGCTAGTGCCCTGTCCACGGGTGGGACCCTGCAGTCCTCTGAGCCCAAGGAGGCAGGGGCGACTTTTACCCCAGCCTGACATATGAGTAAACTGAGGCACATCAGGTGCTCAATGACCTCCCTCTCTCTATCTCTATCTCTCTCTGTGTCTCTCTCGTTGGGAACACCTTGGACAAAATGGTGGGAACAACTTGTCCATAAAAGAAACCCTGCTTTGGGGCTGGAGCAACAGCACAGCAGGTAGGGAGTTTGCCTTGCACGCAGCCAACCCAGGTTTGATTCCCAGCATCCCATATGGTCCCCTGAGCACTGCCAGGAGTAATTCCTGAGTGCATGAGCCAGGAGTAACCCCTGTGCGTCTCCGGGTGTGACCCAAAAAAAGCAAAAAAAAAAAAAGAAGAAAGAAAGAAACCCTGCTTTGATGCTCCAGGCTGCGTCTTTGACGGAGCCTTGGGCGGAAGCCCCCAGACCACTCAGGAAGCCTGTTGCAATGCATATTTAAGGCCATGGGTCTCTGGGACTATGGGACAGGACATATCTGGTGGATGCAGGGATGACAGTTTAACCACTGTGACCACCCGGGAAAGATGTAACCCTAGCTATAGATCTGTAATGGGAAAAAAACATGTTTGCTCTGGCAACCCATGTAGGTTATCAGTGGAGCTCTCCCACCACCCTCCTCACCTATATAAAGCCCTGCTGTCGCTCAGTAAAGTGGAACTGCTCGACAGAACCCCACTGCACCTGTGCACTCATGCCTCTCCATAGGCAGCGGCACAGAGACTTGCCCATTTCCCCAAACCTCTCCCCAGGAAAGAAGCGCAGCCGGACCTCCTTCAGGTCTCTGTGCCCCCTCCCCTCTCCCTGTTTAGTCCTCACAGGTTGAGGATTCGTAAAGGAATGAGAAGAAGGGGGTAACAACACTCTGTCTCTCTCCCCCTCTCTCTCCCTCACCCTCTCTTTTCTATCTCCTCTAAAGAATAAATAAAATAAAAAATAAACTTTTCTATCTCTTGCTTCACTATTCATCCCCTCTGAAATCCTTTTCTGTGCAGGAAGGCAATAGACCCTCGAAGCCTGACAAGATTCAGGACTGACTTTGCTCTCCTAAAAGAGCATGACCTTGCAGTGGCCCAATTCCAGGCTACTGAGAAATTGAGCGGGAGACAACACAGCGGGTCTTACATGCAGGTGACCCGGGCTCAGTCTCCAGCACCCCAGGTGGTCTCCTGAGCACAGCCAGGAGAGACTCCTAAGCACAGGACCAGGAGTAACCCTGAACACCACTGGGCGTGGCCCAAAAATCAAACAAAAAAAAAGGAAAATAAGTGTCGTACGAACGTTTGGTTAGGTGGTCTGAGGCGCGGAGACAAGGAATTCAAAAGAAAATAATGTTCACGGAGGATCACAAGACTCACTCAGATCTTGTGACTAAGAGCAGTCTTTTCAGCCTCCTTTTATTTGCCGGCTTATTATAATCACATCCAGTGAAATTTTA